CAGATGAGGTAAAGCCTTTGGGACCTTCATTGGCTGAGGAGACTCAACTCAACATGAGAAGAAATGGCTGCAAACACCCATTACTAATTGAAAGTCGGACTGTATGAAGTATGAATCTAGGAAACTTGGAAGTCGTCAAAATGAAATGGAACAAAGATCAATATCTGAGGCATTAGTGAGCTGAAATAGACTGATATTGGCCATTATTTTTTGTTTCTACACATTTACATGTTTATCACTTGCCATAACTAGTTTTCTGCTTGAATATATATGTATATATTAAATGACTTTATTGGGGGCTCTTACAGATAACATTCTATACATCAATTTTATCAAGCATATTTGTACATATGTTGTCATTTTTAAAATCATTTATTTTTTTAAATCATTTTATTGGGGGCTCATACAACTCTTACCACAATCAATACATACATCCATTGTGTCAAGCACATGTGTACTTCGTTGCCATCATTCTCAAAACATTTTCTTTCTACTTGAGCCCTTGGTATCAGCTCATTTTTACCCCTCCGTCCCCTGCCATCTACTTCCTATTTGAACCTTTGGTATCAGGTCCTCTTTATTCCCTCCCAACAACCCCCTACCCTTGTGACCCCTTGATACATTATAAATTATTGTTTCATATCTTACACTGACGTTTCTGCTGTTCATCCCCCTGGGTGGGTGAATTATGTGTCAGTCATTGAGATCCCGTTCCCCCTTCCTCCACCTTTCCCCTCGTCTCCTGGTATGGCTACTCCCATTTCTGTTCCTGAGGGGTTTATCTGACCTGGATTCTGTGTGTTGTGAGCTCTTATATGTACCAGGTATTGGCCATTTTGAATAAGAGATTCATATGGTTTAATATGACGAGAATGACAGAGGAATATGGTATCTCATCCATCATCAAAAAGGACATTTCAGAGTCTAAAAGTATAACACTATTAGTGATAGGATAATATCCAGTCAATAAAATTATTATTTAAACTTACATACCTCTAAAGCTAGTGATGATGAAATCAAAGAATTCTGCCCAATGACTTCAGTCTGAAATGGATGAAACATGCAATCAAGATGCATTGAAAAACTTGGCAATTGGAATGCAAAAGTTGGAAACAGAGGAAGGAACAATAGTTGGAAAATAAGGCTTTGATGATAGAAACAAGGTGGGAGATCACATGACAGAATTTTGCAAGACCAATGACTATCACAAATACACAAATAGTGACTATACACGAGTTTCTTCAATGGAAACCACAGACATCAAACTTATTACATCTGTGAGAAGAGATGATGGAGAAACTCAGTATCAGCAGCTAAAACAAGGCCAGGGGCCAACTATAGAACAGACCACTAATTGCTCATATTTACGTTCAGATGTAGGTTGAAGCTGAAAAATATTAAGTCCACAAGAGCCAAAATACCACCTTATGCCCATCCTGCCTGAATTTTGAGACCATCTCAGTAACAGATTTGATCTCTTGAAAACTAGTGATAGACCTGATGAGCTGTGGGATGACATCAAGAACATCATGAAGAAGTAAAAAAGTCATTCACAAGACAGGACGGAATAAAAGATCAAACTAGATGTCAGAAAAGACTCTGACACTTGCTCTGCATCATCGAGTACCTAAAGCAAATGGGAGATATGATGAAATCAAAGAGAATTTCAAAGGGTAGCTTGAGAAGACTAAGTATTATAATGAAATGTTCGAAGATCTCGAGTTAGAAAACCAAAAAAGGAAGGACACATGAAGCAGAAAAAATTCAAGCCTAAAGTTGCAATCATGAAAGAGTCTATGGACAAAATATTTATTTTATTATTAAAATTTTTAAAAAATTTTTTATTTATTTTTAAAAAATCATTTTATTAGGGGCTCATACAACTCTTATCACAATCCATACACACATCAATTGTGTAAAGCGCATTTGTACATCATTCTCAAAACATTTTCTCTCCACTTAAACCCCTGGCATTAGGTCCTCATTTGTCCCTTCCCTCCCCGCTCCCCCCTCCCTCATGAGCCCTTGATGGTTTATAAATTGTTATTTTGTCATATCTTGCCCTGTCCGATGTCTCCCTGGACAAAATATTTAATGAAGCATCAAAAGAAGATGGGAAGAATATAGTCATTGCCCAAAAAGAACCAGTTGACATTTCATCCTTTCAGGAGGGAGCATATGAGCAAGAACCAATGGTACTGAAGGAAGAAGTTCAAGCTGCACTGCATTAGCCAAAAACAAGGGTCCAGGAATTGATGGAATACCAATTGAAATATCTCAATAAGCTGATGAAACACTAGAAACACTCATCTATATCGAGAAATTTAGAAAACGTCTACCTGGCCAAATGACTGGATAAGAATCCTATTTTGCATCCATCCCTAAGAAAGGTGACCCAACAGATTGTGCACATTATAGAACAATATCATTGATTATTTAACAATGATCAGCTGAAATTCATTGGAAGAGAGCTGCCAGAGGTTCAGACTGTATTCAGAAGAGGATATGGAACAAGGGATCTCACTACCATCAAATGGATCTTGGCTGAATGCAGAGAACTCTAGAAAGATGTTTACTTATGTTTTATGACTATGTAAAGGCATTCAACTGTGTGGACCATACCAAACTATGGCTAGCCTCGAGAAGAATGAGAATCCCAGAATACTTCATTGTATGCAAACCTTGTACTATGAACAGAACAAGGACATACTGTATGGTTTATATCTGGAAATGTGTGTCAGGGTTATTTCTTCTTGCCATATTTATTCAGTCTTTATGCTGAGCAAATAATCACAGGATCTGGACTATATGAAAGAGAATATGTCATCAAGATTGGAGAAAGGAGCTTATTAACAGCCTTCAATATGCAAATGACACAACTTGCTTGCTGAAAGTGAAAACTTGAAGCATTTGCTGATGAAGATCAAGGATTGCAACCAGAAATATGGATTAAATGAAGACTTGAGTTTGTCTGAGATTTCATCTTGCTTGGATCCACATCAATGCTTATGGAAGCAACCGATCGATCAAAGGATGCTTTACATGGGGTACATCTGCTGCAAACAAGACCTCTTTAAAATATTGAAAAGCAAGGATGCTACTTTGAGGACTAAGGTACCCCTGGCCCAAGCCATAATATTTTCAGTCATCTCACATGCATCTCAAACTTGGCCACTGAGTAAGACTGAGTAATTCATGCATTTGAATTATGGTACTGGCAAGAATATTGAAAGAACCACAGAGTGCTAAAAGAACAAAAAAATCTGCCCTAGAAGAAGAGTAGCCAGAGTGCTCCTTAGAAGCAAGGATGGCAAAACTTCATCTCATCTACTTTGGACATGTTATTAGAAGAGACCAGTCCCTGGACAAGGCATTGTATTTTGGTAAAGTACAGGGGCAGCGGAAAAAGAGGAAGATGCCCCATGACAAGATGGAGGGACACAGTATCTGCAGCAGTGTGTTCGGGCACAGCAATTGTGAGGATGCTGCAGGATCAGGCAGTGTTTCATTCTGTTGCACACAGAATTGACTCCACCACTACATTTGTTGTTGCTGTTGGCTTCTTGAAAGGATGCTAGGTGGGAATACGTGTAGTAGAAGAATTGGGAGATTTAACTCAAATTCTTAGCAGTATTTTTAACTACTGAATTGAATCTGAAAGAAAAGTGTGCTTGACCTAATGTTTGCAACAGGTTCCTGATACTAACGTTTAAGAACCATGAATACAGACATTGGTTATAAAGTGCTTAAGAAAAAACCTAGTTGGTATCGACCAACGTTTATTCCAAAGTGAAAACTCCCACAAAGTAGTAATGTTTGTATCATAAAGCAATGCAAAAATGGGAATTGCTCCAACGTTTTGGTAATGATGTTATTCAACAATTTTTAAAACAAATTTTAATATAGTTTCCTCATTACCAGAAAAAAACACACAGATAAAAATCAGTGAAGATCATCAGAGCAAGACCAAGAGTTAAGTGTTTCCTGCAGTAAATCACAAATGTCCAAGGGTGCACCAGGAGCCAACCTTGACTTTCACGGTACAAGTCAAAGTCCTGGGTTTAGTATCACAGTAGTTGTCCGAAGTTTGCATTAAAGAATGGCAGTGAGGGGTACAAGGAATTGGTTATTTGGGGAAGAACAATGTATGGACTATGCAAAATCAAAAGGACGTACATTCGATTTTCCCTTTTCAGGGTGCTTTCGCACAAACTTTGATCCTATCCGTTGAACGGTCCTGGGAGGAACGAAACGATTACCAGCAAAACCGATGTTAGAACTTGAGCTAGCGAACCCGCCAGCAGAGAAATGACAGGTCCTCGGCGCGCGAGCGGACCGCAGGAGGAGGCCACCCCCCCGCGCTGCGCTCCAGAGGCCGGCCTTCGAGATCGGAGCCGCCCCGCTGGACACATAATGCAGTGACACGGAGTGCCGGGGAGCTGGGGTTAAGAAAGGGGGATGTCCTTTCCGAGGCAGCGCTGACCGCAGCATGGAAGTTTTGGGAGCTTGATTCCCCCCGGCACATGGCATCTTCCCGGGAGGATGGACTCTGGCCTCCAATCGGGAGCAGAGGTTCCTGGGGCCCAAGACCTCCCCAGGGATTCGGCGCTAAAGGAGAAACGCCGAAAGTCCCCGGAAGAGCCTTCAGGAAGGCGGCCCAGCTCACAAAGGCCGCCCGGGGGACCCCCGCCGCCGCCGCCCAGCCGGCGGGGGGCCGAAGGGTTAACCGCGCCCCGGCTCCCGCTCGCCGCCCGGCTCCCGCCCCGCCGTCGCTAGGAGACGCCGGAAGTGGGGGAGGGGCGGGCAGTGCGGCGGAGGGTGGGAATCTTTTTCGGGAGGCCGGGGGCGGAGGGGAGGGAGCGCGCGTGCGCGTGCCCGGCCGCCGTCGCCGCGGTGACCGTCCCCGCCGCCCGTCGGCTCGCGCCCCGCCCCCGGCCTCGCCGCCCCCTCCCCTGTCGCGGGCGGGGGCTGTTTCTCGCTCCTCCCGGTCGCCGCCGCCGCTCCTCCTCTCGCAGGCTCGGCTTGCCCCGGCCGTGCGGCCCCCGCTACCTCCGCGGTCCGTACGAGGTGGAAGAGGAGCATGTGAAGATGGCGGAGCTGCAGATGCTGCTGGAGGAGGAAATCCCGGGGGGCCGCCGGGCCCTCTTCGACAGCTACACGAACCTGGAGCGGGTGGCCGACTACTGCGAGAACAACTACATTCAGGTACGGCGCGGCCCCGGGCCTGGCCCGGCAGGGGCGTGCGGAGGACCCCGGCCGGCGGCCGCGTCCCGGAGGCGCGGGGAGCGCGGGCCCGGCGAGGCTTGCGGGGGAAGGCGAGCCCCGGCCGCGGGGTGGGTGGGAATCCTCGGGCCGGCGGAAACGGGAGCTTTGCAACATTGTTGCCAGCGGGGCGTGCGCGGGGTGCCCGCCTCCTGGCTCCTGCCCTCCGCCGCCCCCGCGCTCGCAGCCGGTCGGTGGGTCGGTGCTGGGGCCGGCGCGGGAGGCGGAGAGGGGCGTTTTGTTTGGTAAAATGCTGCTCCCCCCATGTAAGGGGGACGAGGACGGGAATGATAGCCCCCCCCCCAAGCTGTGGAGGATTTTTAGGGGCGCTGTTGCCGCAAAGTAAAGTCCATAGGTTTTCTGTTCATGTAAATGCCTCCGAAGACCTGGAGGGGGGTGGGCGTTAAGTCTAACGGCGGGGATACTAGAAGTTATTGTCATTTTTCTCCCTTTGGAGCATGAGAAGCTGCGTGATAAAGAACCGTTCCTCCCGCCCACCCCAAGTCCTGTTAGATTGCTTGTTTTCTTGAGGGGGGGGTGAGTGCGCCTGTTTTCCTGAAAGAATTAGGAAAATGAACCCGATGGTTTAATTTTCCCGTGATGGTTTGGCACAAGACTCGGTGGTGAAGCTCGCGCGCGCGCGCGTGTGTGTGTGTGTGTGTGTGTGTATGCATGCATGTATGGGGTGGTGGAGGCGAGAGTGGATACAGGGTGAGATGAGATCCAGGTGCTCAGTGATAAAAGATTCTCAGTTTAAGAAAAAAATATATTTAAAAATTACTTGAAAGCATGGCAGGATAAAACACACAGTATGTAAATTCAGCATCGGGTTTTCTGCATGGCTTATTCTGAATTACAGGTTCTGCCTTAATTCCCCCCCCCCCTTTCCTATTTAAATTCTCTTGGGATAAAGGTGGAAATGTGCTAAATTGTTTCTTCACCCCGGTCTTTTTTTTTCTTGTTCCCACCTCCATATCTCCAGGCAGGCATCCTTCTTAACACCAGCTATATCGGGAAGCATTCTTGTCTTAGTGTAAATTAAAAACCATGCACAGAAAAAAATGTAACCAGGTGTTACAATGGGTAGGTTCTTAGGTTTTGTAAGGAGACCATGCTTAATTTAGGGTGGCATTTTGAGATTTTTCTTGGTTAAATATATGCTTTGTGTTGTAGGGGATATTTCTTTTGGAGAAAGAGCTGGACATAATCCAAGCTGTTTCCTTCGACAGAGACCCATGAAAATAGGAAAAGGAAGGATGTACCTTGGGTCAAAAGATGAATACAAAAAATACAAGTGACCATATTTGCACTAACTGCTAATACACCAGCTGCTCCAGCCAAGATTTAGTCTCAGACACCCTATGGAGAGCCTTTGAGTCAGACTCCACTTGATGGCATAGGTTTGGTTTTGGGGTTACTGATATGGGGGAGAAGAGATTCAAAGGATCAGTTTCTCGCTTTTTCACGCAGTGTTTGGACAGGTTGTCTTCTTTGTGTCTGGCATTTGTCTGCTGAGTGCCTAAATAAGTTGGCATTTAGGTGATTCACACTTATGTTGACGTTATGTGTTACAGGGTCCCTTGTGTTTTGGCTGTAATGATCTGAGCACACCACTGGTGGATTCCTATTGCCTACCTTTAGGTTAAAGTTAAGCACAAACCCCGACACCAGGGACTCATGCTTTAGGACCGATAGAGTTTTATAGTCTAGAGCCCAGGTTTCCAAACTTGGCTGGTTGATCATTGGAGTCACCTGGGGATCTGGTGAAACCCCATATCTTCGGGCTCCAGTTGCAGCCTAAAGGCTTGATTGAGAATCTCTGAGGAAGAGCCTGGGGATCTCCAGTTTCACCAGATCCCCAGGTGATTCCAATGATCAGCTCAGTTTGGGAACATAAGGGTCCAGTGTTTAGGAGAGGCCATCTGTGAACAAATTAATACCATGTACTTAGAGCACCCATGTTGGTTTAGCAACTTTAAATAGGGTTTCTGACGTTGTGAATTTTTCCTGGGTCAGAATGCATTCTTTCATCTTGTCATTAGCAGCCCAAAGGTGTAATCAGCTGTGCCACCACATCTCTTAATACCATAGAGCTTGGTGATTTATGCTCCACAATAGATTACAGGTGGAAGCACTAGCAGACGCTATGCTTGTTTCAGGAATCCACAATCTCTAGGAAGGTGCCGCCTCATGCGTTGAAGTGCTAATTCCGTTGCCTCATGTAACATAGTATGGGGAAGAGTTGTAGTCAGAAGAGAAATTGAGGTGGAAAAGTAACTGGGTCTGCTTATTTCCGGTAATAAAAGAAACAGATTTGTGTCTGGTACAATTACTACATAAAGGTAAAAGTAAGTACATGGGTTATTAAAGCTAAGAAGTTCAGGCATAGTGATTATCTTTTTAGGTGTTTTATACTTAATAGTTGAAAAAAAGAATGTTACTGCCCCATATTGTCTATCTTAGCAATAGGACTCAACAGTTTATGCGGTGGTATTTTTAAACTCGGTGGATAAATATTGATGTGATATGAATGCATCTGGATTTTAAAATGTCTTATATATCTACAATTTAGCATTTGAAGTGTCATTTACAGTCTTAGATGATCTATTTTGGGATTCAGTTGGTATATGATTGATCCTCTCTCTGAGGATGAGAACTTTTACTTGGTTTGTGTGTACTGTAGTATAGTTACTAACTAGGCCTGATGGGGGTGGGTTTGTGCTGATCCAGCAGCACATTTGGCCGCCTCCCCTGGTGACTGAGGAAGCATTGACCAGCGGGATTTGGATGTTGCTGGAAATTAATTGATGGGATCCAGGATCAAAGGATCAATTTAGCCTACTATCTAGCATCATGCCGTATTGGTAGCTCAAGTTAACTAACCCCACTCTCATTTTATTTTGTGGTAATATAATTTTTGCCTGTAAAGTAAAGAGAAATCTGTTGACCCTTGATGACAACCATAAAATTTTGTTGCTGAACACAATTTATGGTTAATCAGAATATTCTAAATGTGGCTGTTCAGTGTGAAAAGTGAACAAAGGGGATCTACATGTGACCTCCCCGCTGGGGGACGGACAACAGAAAAGTGGGTGAAGGAAGACGTCGAACAGGGCAAGATATGACAAAATAATAATTTATAAATTATCAAGGGCTCATGAGGGAGGGGGGAGCGATGAGGGAGGGGAAAAATGAGGACCTGATGCCAGGGTTTATGTGGAGAGGAAATGTTTTGAGAATGAAGAGGGCAATGAATGTACAAGTGTGCTTTACACAATTGATGTGTGTATGGATTGTGATAAGAGTTGTATGAGCCCTTAATAAAACGATTTTAAAAAAACCAAAAATTCCAGAATTTACAAAAAAAAAAAAAAAAAGAGCAAAGGAAGGAAAATCATGGAGCTGTCTTTTTGAAAACAATTGTATGCTATTTGAATTACCCTTATCAAAGTCTGTCTCCAGAAATATCATTGTCTCTCCGAATGATCAGATATTGCTATTATTAACATACACTAAATCTGTAGATAGAGTTGTAAATAAAATTTTCCATGTTACTAATATAGTTAACATTAGAAATTTTAGAGTCATCTTTAGTAAAAGTTTATTTTATTTCATTGCTTTGACCACCCAAAAACTGAATCAAAATATTTTTTCCTAAAATGTGATGCTGAAAAAGTATAATCAGATTGATTTTATTTTTTGCTTATAAAAAGGATTAAGAATTGTCTTTGAATACTTGTGAGACTTGTGTTTCTTTTTCTTATTAATATTAAATACCTAGTATACCAGGAAGTATCCAGGAATATTTAGAAAAATGTTTTGATTAACTTGGAATTAATTTGAAAATGTTTCGATTAACATTTTTATGGCAAAACAACTTTATAATTGGTTCTTTCAATGTTTTGGGAAGAGAAATAAGTTTATAGTTGTAATTTCTACAGTAAATCTGAAAATCCAACTTGTTTGTATTTGTTTCTTTCTGTTTGATAAAAGAAAATGATTTTTTTGGTGTGACTGATAATTCACATAGATACATAATGAAACTTCCATTGTCCAATGTTTAGGTTAGGAGTGAAGTCCTTTTCAGAACAGAAATGAAGAATTTACTTTAAAATATTATTTGAAATATTTTGAGTAATAGTTAAATCATTAGTACCTTTTCTTTTTTCCTGTTATCAACAAAGATACTCCTAGAACTTAAAATTGCATGAAATGTTTATAAAGGGATCATAGAATAATGACATATTATATGTTTCATAAAAATTATTAATATAAAAATTCAAAATTGTATTGTTGGCAATTATTAGAATATACAAAGAGATGTAAAAAGATTTTAAACGCGCAATCATATTTAATATACACTTGGTTTTTATAATTTTAGGGTCTTGGTGACTCAGTGGTTTAGTGCTCACCTGTTAACTGACAGGTCAGTTATTTGAGCCCACCAGTTGCTAAGAGGGAGAAAGATGTGGCAGTCTGCTACTGGGAAGATTTACAGCTGTGGAAACTATGGGCCGATTATATTCTGCCCTATGCAGTTGCTGTAAGCCAGAATTGGCAACATGGTAATGAGTATCTCTCCAAGCTGTATCCTCATAGCTAATTGGTATCCAGCCAGTTCTGGCTCATGGTGCCCCACATGTTGCAGAATAGAACTGCACTCTTTCATTTGGCTTTCAAAGCTGTGACCTTTTGGGAAGCAGATTGTTTATATCTCCATTTAAAAAACAGCCAACCCCCAAATTAAACTAGTTGCCTAGAGTCTGTTCCTACTCCTGGTGAACTCTGGCGTTCCACAGTGGAACTGGGCTCTGCAGGGCTTTCATGGCTCTGACCTTTTGGAAGCAGACTGCCAGGCCTTTCGTCTGAGGTGCGTTTAAATGCCAAATTTTTGGTTAACAGACCAACACTTACAGTTTGTACAACCCGAGGATTTCCCTTTA